TAAACATTTTCTATAATAAACAAGATTTTCTCTCCATCTCTATAAATTTTCATATTTTTTAAATTTATACGTAGTATTTGATATAAAGAAGTTACTTATTGTTATATATATATATATATATATATATATATATATATATATATATATAATGCAAATAGTTTTTAATAAAGAATCATTAGTTCTTTATATATAAAAATGATACTTAGATCACTAAGTATATATTTAATAAAACATATATTTAGAAAAACAAATATATATATTTAATAAACCTTTTATTATACTACTTTATCAAGTAGTATATATTTAGAATCATTAATTCTTTATATTTAAAAATGATACTTAGATCACTAAGAAAATAACATATGCCATATTTATCCGCATTTTTTAAACACCTAATATATCTAAATTATCAACTTCTCTCATTTATAAAAAAAATTTAGAATAATAAATAAAATGTTCAATTCACATAGAAATAAGTTTTATATTTGTTCATAAGTTTACATGATATTAATTTGATTATATTTATTTATATAAATGAATTAAATTTCATTATTATTACATTTAATGACAATTAAATTTCAAGTATTTTCTAAGTATTATACCAATATGCATTTTACCATTTAAGTATTTTAATCTTAATAATTATTTTATTAGTTTATAAAAATAATAAAGTAATATAAGTTTCTTCTTCGAAAAATTATAAGGGTAACCTTCTTCTTCGATATAGTCATTGCTTCTGAATGGCTATTGTTACTTATAATTATTTCATTTGAATGGTAAATTCTTTAATAGTCTTTAGTTTCATACTTATTATATAGACATTGAAATATAAATAATTAAATCTATTGATCTTTATGAAATAAAAGAGTTCTAACTATGAGTCTATAAGAAAATATGTGAGAAAGTCTAGATTTCAAATGTAAAATTTAAAACTAAGACTGAGCAGCCCTTCTGGACCTGGCCTAACCCAATATTTTAGGGGCCTAATATTTTAAAAAATATTATATATACATCTACATCTATAGTAAAATTATAAAGCCTAATAATTTATGTATAGTAGGTTTCAACCTGAGACTTTAGTATGTTAGGATATACACCATCCGGTGATGCTATTAAACATGTTGTTACATAAGTCACGCAATAAAATACGGAGTATACTCTATATGGATTGTGTGGATTTCAATAAAACTTCCAATTATTTAGGAAAAAACAACATAATCAGTATCTAGTATACTTATTTTAGGAACTTAAAAAATAGTTGAAAAAAAATAAATTAACAAAAATTATTTATGTATTTTCTAAAACTTAATATGAATATTTATAACCAAAAAATTATTTTTTTTCAAAAGAAATAAGTAAAAATTATTGTCATCTATAAAAATTAAGAAATATTTCTTAATTATACTTTAATATATTAAATTTTATTTTATCATCTACGTTTTTCTCGTTTCAATCAACTAAATCAATTTCAAAGTGTTACATACAGATTACGGAGTACTATATGTATAGACTCTAATGTTTTAAATATGAATATTGCCTTACTATTTTAAAATTTATTAGATATTCACTCTTTACCTTTAAGAGTAACAAAAAAATAATACAAATAGAAAATAAAAAGTGTATCGGCATATACAAATTTATATTAAAAACTAGAAAAAAAGTGTATCGGCATATACAAATTTATGTATAGTAGGTTTCAACCTGAGACTTTAGTATGTTAGGATATACACCATCCGGTGATGCTATTAAACATGTTGTTACATAAGTCACGCAATAAAATACGGAGTATACTCTATATGGATTGTGTGGATTTCAATAAAACTTCCAATTATTTAGGAAAAAACAACATAATCAGTATCTAGTATACTTATTTTAGGAACTTAAAAAATAGTTGAAAAAAAATAAATTAACAAAAATTATTTATGTATTTTCTAAAACTTAATATGAATATTTATAACCAAAAAATTATTTTTTTTCAAAAGAAATAAGTAAAAATTATTGTCATCTATAAAAATTAAGAAATATTTCTTAATTATACTTTAATATATTAAATTTTTGTTTTATCATCTACGTTTTTCTCGTTTCAATCAACTAAATAAATTTCAAAGTGTTACATAGAGATTACGGAGTACTATATGTATAGACTCTAATGTTTTAAATATGAATATTGCCTTACTATTTTAAAATTTATTAGATATTCACTCTTTACCTTTAACAGTAACAAAAAAATAATACAAATAGAAAATAAAAAGTGTATCGGCATATACAAATTTATATCACTTTGTTTGGAGAACCTGTAGTGCATGATTGGTAAAAAATAGTGGTTCTTACCCCACTCTAACCTCACCCATAAACTCCCTCTCAACTCACTCCCTACCCCCTCCCTACCCTAATTGTATACTGCCAGGCAATACTGCAAGGGTAGGGATGGGATTGGGGTGGGGGCTGGGATGGGGTTGTGATGGGGGGTTTAGGAGGAAGATTTGGGGTAGGAACCAATATTTTTACCAGCGGGACACTATATATATGTGCTCCAAATAAACTGGTGTTAGAAAATGACACCAATATTACTGGTGTCATTTTAGACTTCTTTTTAATATAATATAAAATATTATTATTCTACTTATAGTTGATCAGGTCGTTGATCTCCGGATCAACAAGTTAACCCTTGATCCACTAGCTCGTTCGAGTTGATGTTTGGTTTAGTTTTCACAGCATTGATTCCGAGAGGTAACTATATATAAACTCTTTACCGTGATTTTGTCATTGACTCATATTGTTATAACACTATTATGTTAATTATCCTTTAAATATAACTAATTTGCATACTTCAATTCATTATGACATTAATTAAGGATAAGACTTTTCAGGCATTTTTTCTGTCTCGGCCTAGACCATAGAATTCTTAGGACCGACCCTACTTAAAACCATTAAAACCATGATAGCACAACTCCATTTGAACTCAAATTCCACATATCAATAATATTGTATTTTAAAGACTAGCCTTTCCCACTCAAAGATAATTTGTTTCCATCCCTTAATTTTAGTAGTCCGATCATATGTTAATATGATTTCCTTTTTTCATACTCCCTCCGTCTCATGAAACATGAGATGTTTTGCTTTTTGAAGAGATTTAAGGGAGTGTATTTTGGTATTGAATTTCCAAAAATGTCCTTTGATGTGATAGGTAAAAGTAGGATTTGATGAGTAGATTATTAGTAAAAAGGTATGATGTGATAGGTAGAGTATGAAAAAGTAAGGGGTAAAAGTGACTTTTTAATAGAAATGAGAAGTGTTTTATGAAACGGATGAAAAAAGAAAGGAGAAAGGTTTTATGGGACGGAGGGAGTATATTAATATCACCTCTTATTTTAAAGAATACTTTATCTAGTTTTTAATTTTATAATTTTCTTTTAAAATATTATGCTTCCTATCATCTTTTAAATAAATTGAACTAAGATGAATTAGTGAACCATCGTATAGTAATTCAAAAGAGAATGATAATTTATAGAGGAAGTAGGATGATTGCAATAATGATTAGAAAATTAAAACGCGTCTTACATAAATCGATATCAATATCATTATATATTCCGAGCTTTAATCATTTCCAGTGCCAAAACATTCCGATTTAGTTTTGTATTTTTAAGATTGAGATTTACGGAGTATTAAACTAAATCCAAAAATTGGATTTTGGTAACAATAGCCTCAAGGGCTGTCGATAGTTAAAGAACCCTAATAATCCAAAAAATTATGGATTGAGACTTTGGTAATACATTAGCACTGTTCGCAAATAGAGAAAAAGACAAAGGGAGTAAATTTTAAAAATATACCAAAATAAAATTTCTGTATTTTTATTTTCAAAATAGGAGTGAAAATGTATTTACATTACTAAAGTTATGTACATTACCAAAAAGTATAGTAATATGCACATGTACAATGTCACATTACCAATGTTCGAAGTACTATTTAGGGAAAATAAAAATATGGAACTACTCTTTTAGTACTTTTTTCTATATTTTAGTCCTATTTAGGACGATTTCTAAATCAATTAGCGTTAAAAGTTAAATTATCAACACATAGTGCCTAATAAATTGCGAGTGTTTGACATTGTCAAAGCTAGTATTTAAGGGTTAAAACATACTTCCTCCAACTTATAAAACATTTCCTGTTTTGACTTTTAGAAGAGGAAGATGTTGAAGTTTGACGAAGTATGCCAAAATAGTGCTTGGGAAATATCAAAATAGGTTGGATGTAGGAGGTAGGTTTGATTAGGTTTAAAAAAAATAAAAACTGCTTAACCCAAATTGAAATATTTTATGGGACAAGTAAGATGTGAAAGTTGAAATGATTTAGGAGAAGGGAGAAGTAGGATATATGTATTATTTTCTTATAAATTGCACATTTCAATGTAATTTAGATACTCCCTCCGTTCTCAAAAATACTTCTTCTTTCATTTTTTCCACTTCCAACAAAACACTTCCCCTTTCTATTAAAAGCCCCATTTTTACCCCTACTTTTTCATACCATACCTATCACATCATACTTTTTCTCTAATAATCTATCCATCACATCTTACTTTTACCCATCACATCAGGGGCAAAATTGGAAATCAACTACTCCCTCTGTCCACCATAGATCTTCTCAGACACTATTCACAGGGTCAAACTTTATTCACTTTGTTTGCTCATTTTCACTAGTCATTTTGTAAAATAATATAGTCTTGTCACCTCTAGTTTTGTAGAACTTTTCATGTAGTTTATTACTATATAAATTTTATTTTAAAATTTTACTCCTATAATCAATTAAATTGAATTGAAAATAAAGCCGGTCAAGCCTCGTAATGCGTAACGGGAAGATCTTAGTTGGACGGATGGAGTATAATTTAACATTTTCTTATTTTTGCCCCAAATCAAAATGGGGAGTCTTTTTGCAAAAGGAGGGAGTAGAAAATGAAGAAGAAGAAAGAATAGCAGAAATTAAGTACAGTAATAACAATGAACCTGGGATGGTGGGTGTTCTTGACAACTTTTTGGCCATATTTTCTCCATTTATAACCATCATCCAACACATCAACATCACTCATAGTCTTGAAGCTGAACCTTGGCTCTCTCACCTTCCTCCTTGTCTTCTTCATCTTCTTCTTCTTACTATCTTCCCTGCCGCCTCTTCTTTTCCTTCTCTGATCAGTATTATTCACTTCTTCCCATTCCCTATGATGACCATATATTATTGTATTTTTAATCCCATAAAAAAATAAACAACTAACTGGTTTACTAGCTACTCATATCAATACTTAGAAATAATTAATATAATATTAATCAAAACAATTAATATTACCACATGTTTGGAATGGATTTGTGCAGAGAAAAGAGGGAAGTGAGGTCGTTGTTATTATTATTATTATTACTACTACTATGATGAGATGGAAGGGTAGTGGTAATATTAGTCGTAGCAGCAGGAGAAGCAGTATTGTTAATGGTTGATGATGGTGAAGAAGAAGAAGAAACGCAGAGAAAATCAAGTTGCTGTTGTTGGTGTGATGAGATATCTTGGAACAAGATTTGGTTGAGAGTGCATTGGGAAGCTGTAGACATCTCTCTCTCTCTCTCTCTCTCTCTCTCTCTCTCTCTCTCTCTCTATATCTCTTTCTGATGTGTTGTGTGGTGTATGTATTTGTGCGTGTGAGGGATGGAGTTGACGAGGGGAAGAGTAGTGGTGGATGATAGTATATGCTTTTTTAGATGCACCCTACCTTTGCTTTGCTTTTATGGGATGGAGAAGGTTGTGGAAAGAAAAAGAAAAAATTAAAAAAAAAACAAAACAAAAAAGAATGAGGGTAAATGTGTTGCACATACTTCCACCACAAAGTGCATTACTTGCTTGCAGGGGCGGACCCAGGATTTTTTACCACGGGGTCGATCATATATTTAAAAATGTGAGACTGTATATTATTTGTTGGGTCGTAAGTAAAATAAGATTCATATTTAAAAATATTCATAAAAATAACTTTATGGTATTAACATTTAATATAATTTTTTTAAATTGACGTTCAAAATTTACTAGTATAAAATTTTAAATGAGATGGATGAGTCATTAAAAAGTGAATGATGTATAATAAGAATTTATTTTAAGAAAATAGGAATAATATCAACTACATATTTTTTCTATAAATAAGTAAAGTGTAAAGTTTATAAGTTTTTTTGATATAGAAGAGAATAGACAAATAAAAAATAGTTATGTTGATTAATAGGTACACAATTTTTGAAGTACTTAAGAAAATTGAAACACTCCATAAACATAAACTTTACTATACATTTTTAAATGAAACGGATAAAGCATTAAAAATTTAAAGTTATATTTATAAGAAAATAAAGATAATTAATCTCACTCATATATTTTTTCTAAAAATGAGTAAATGGGTGGAGTGTCGTAACATACAATGGCAAGTCATTGTTTTTGTCTATGTTTGTACTTTTTAATGATTTTTAATTATCAAAAATTATTTTACACATTTATTTTACTATTAAAATATGTCTACTTTTTAAAAAAATATTTTTTCCAAATATTAAAAATATTAAAAATATTAAAAAAATTAAAAATGAGGGAGTCATGTCTTGCACATGGAATGAAAAGTGGGGTGAAATTACCATGAAATGCCATAATTTGAGTGGCATTTGCTGACATGGCTAGGTAAGGCAAGGCATTGCCTTGCTATTGTGAATCCTCTAAATAACCCGAGTAATTTATATCCTATTGTCACGCTTCTAACATTAAGTAAACAGTACTCCATAATATATAACATTAAAGTTTACGTATATTAAAAAAATTATAAATTCGGTTCCTTTTTAAAATATTGGTGCCTTTTAAATACACTTTTGCATACTATATTGAAATGTAAATAATTAAAAACATTATAAACTTAAAAAATAATCTAATAGTTTTAACATATTTACAAATCACAATCTTACAAAATAAAATAGCAAATTCAATTCGCTATTCACAATAACAAATTCATAAGAATAAATTATAATATACAAATACACCTAAAAATTTATATATATAGGTAAAAAAAATTTAAATTTCCGAGGGATCACTTGACCCCGTATGACTCAATGTGGGTCCGCCCCTCCTTGCTTGTCTCTTTACAAGAAAAAAAAGACTTTTCATTCAATTTTTAGATAATTTAAAAAAGATAGACTTTTTATTTCCATCACTTTTAACCACTACATTTTAACTTTATAAAACTTCCTACAAATTCAATTTTGAGCCTTGTTTAGGCTTACGGGTGTACCGTGGGAAGGGTGTGCAACGGGAGGGGAACGGGAGCACCACCTCCCCCGTTTTCCCGTGCATTTTTCGGTGTTTTTTTATTTTTTGTTTCAGTTTTTTTCCCATTCCTTTTTGTTTTAGTTTTTTTTTTCTTTTCTCCTTTTTTTTGCATGTTTTCTATTCTTTAATATTTTGTTTCTTTCAGTTTTGTTCTTATATTTTTAAATTTTTTTCTACAATTTCTAAGTTTCTTAATTTCTTTTTTTCTTTTCATTTAAATTTAATGTATTTCTTTTAATGTACTTCGTATCACTTCAAATTATTAATGAAATGTTCAATTATTTTAAGTTTAATAAATGATAGTTTGGAGTAATTTTTATTATTTTTATCAACGAATACTCCAATACTCAATGTGTTTATATACCGGATTATTTTAGTAATCGTTTTCGGATGAGTCGTCTTCTCTTTTTACGTATACTTGGCGATATTGAACGCAACGTGCCTTGGTTCACCCAACGATTTGGTGTGAGAGGGAGACACAGGTTTAGCAGTGTCCAGAAGTGCACTGTCGCACTTTGTCAGATGGCGTACGGGACGACATCTGATATGTTCGACGAATACTTGAAGATGTCAAGTCGGAGCATCAGGTCCTATGTTTATAAATTTTATAAAATTGTTATTCGAATTTATCATAAAAGATATTTACATAAGCCTACAGCGAGCGACATTCAGCAGTTACATGTAAGGTATGCCGCTAGATACGGCTGGCATGCTTGGAAGCATTGATTGCACGCATTGGGAATGGAAAAATTGTCCCAGTCAAGGCATAGTCACTTCTCCCGGGGAGATCATCCCAAGCCTAATATCATGCTCGAAGTTGTTGCTTCAAATGACTTGTGGTTTTGGCACGCTATTTTCGGTATTCCGGGCTCGAACAATGACATCAACGTTCTCGATCAATCGCCTATTTTTGACGATTAGAGTAATGAGACCGCACCCGACTTGTCTTTTGATCTTAGAGGGACACTTTACAAGCGCGGATATTATTTAGCCGATGGAATATATCTAGTTTATTCCACGGTTGCCAAGTCCCTCTCCGAACCCATGGGTCTTAAACCCAAGACCTACAAAAAAGCTCATGAGGCGGCGAGAAAAGATATTGAACAGCCTTCGGGGTCTTGAAGGCTAAGTGGCACATTCTAGATCGTCCGTCCAAACGTTTTTCTCAAACAAAAATGAGGAATATCATGTACGCATGTATTGTTCTTCATAATACGATCGTAGAGGACAACGGGCTTGTGATTTGTCAGTACAACATGGACATGGAGGTGCCTATGTACTACGAAATTGACAAAGAAAAGAAACGAAGAAACCACCAGGAAATTCGAATTCGAGAGATTCACAATGCACTAAAGGCGGATTTGATATAACATATCTTCAGTCGCTCAAATAAGCAGTAATTTGTTCGTAGTGCTATTTTTTATGGATGTAACATTTTTTAATGAATGTAATTTTTTTATGGATGTAATATTTTTTTTAATGAATATAATTTTTTAATGGACTATTATCCTTTTGATTCTTTTAAATAATTAAATAATTAAATTTTATTAATTTAAGTTTAGAAGATGTATATTTAAAATATTAAAAATGAAAGTTTGAGGCCATAGTTTGAAGCTCCAAGGCTTCAAACCTATTTCCACAAAAAATGTGAGGTAAGTTAAAGCTAACGTGGCAGAGAGAATGTTTGAAGCTCTGAGGTTTTGCGGGTTTTTCCAGTGCCTTTAGGACAGGAGAAAATTAGCTGAGGTATTTTTTTATACACAATAACCGTCCGATCCGAAACACAGAAAACCAAATAAAACGAACTGACAATTACAGAAGCCTTATATGGGCAAAGGCCACAAAACAAAACACAAGACAAGAGAGTGGATGATGTCGAGGGAAACAAAGAAGAAGGATAAAGCTACTTGTACCCCAAATTTGTGTACCCCATTTGTACACCGCAGGTTTGCACCGACATTTTGTGTCGGTGTAAAACTAATTTTTACTAACGCACCAATACTTTGTGTCCGTGTAAATTTTTGTTAACGCACCAACACTTGTGTCGGTGTAAACCATCAAAATGTTTGTGCATAACTGCGGTGTACAAATGGGGTACAAATTTTGGTGTAAATGTAGCATGGTCCAAAGAAGAAACACCAACGTGCATGAAGGAGCTGGAAGAAGAAGAAGAGATTGCATAAATCAACCCCAGCAATGGCCACGAAAAGTTTGTGAAACCAAAATTAGTGATGGAGCACAAATCTTAACCGAATTCGGAAATGAAATTGGTATAAAGAAGTGGAAAGATGAAACGAAATCAAATCCAAAATCAATTGGACTGATTGATGACAACCGTATTTGGAGTCGCAAACAATTGTTTAATTTGAGACAGATTAAGTATGTGTTTTTTATAGGTTGGGTATAAAGAAGATAACACAGATAAATTGAGAGTCATGTATAACACTTTTAGATTGAATATTTTGGGAGTTCAATGCAAAATTCAATCGGATAAAACTTAAGGTAATCAAGAACAAGTATGATTGTGTTGTGAATTTTCGAACTGTATACTTAGCGATCAAATATTAACGGATTTCATAAAGCCGCAGAAGGGATGAAGCCGGTCGTGTATCTCGTCCAAAACGCACGTCCTTTTGCGCAACGGTTCTAGTGTCCTCTGTGGTTTGGAAAACTTGTATCAATATTCTCTCTGTTTCCAAAACTTATTTCTAAAGTCTCCGTGGTTTCAAAATATTTCACCCACACCCATTACGATCATTTTTCGATCATTTTCCGGCAAAGAGAGGGCACTGGTGTTTTTCGGTCACACCAATATCCTCTCTGGCACCATTACGATCATTTTTCGGTCATTTGTTTAACTTTAATTCTTTTTTTATCTATACATTTTTTTCTAGAAAAGTTTTTAAAATTTCTTTTCAATTTTTTTATAATATTTTAAAAATTTTAAAATTATTTGTGTTTGAAATTTATACCTAGAATAATTTTATTGGTAAGTTCAAAAAGAAAATTCAGAATAAAAAAATAAAAATATGGGAAAAAATGAAACATGC